AAAAAAAAAAAAAAAAAAAAAAAAAGAAAGAAAGAAAATAAAAGAAAGAAAAAAATAGCAGTGTATTATGGAGTTGTAAAATTAATATGGAAAAAACTTGAAATCAGTAAACTAATAGCTAAACAATTCTCAACAAAACCAAAAAAAAGGTTGAAAGACTTAACAAAGCCAAATCAAGACAATGTGTCATTGGCATAAAGATAAACACACTAATGGAACAGCATAAAAGTTCCAGAAGTATACCTACATATATGTGGTCCAGTGGTTTAAGATAAAGGTTGAATATAATATGGTAGAGACACACTATGAATTGTGACGCTGCCACAAACAAAATGTAAATATATGTGTATGGAATGTTAAATGCAAACAGAAAATTCCATGGTAACACGTATAGTATGAGCCCATCCTGTGCGCATTCTAGTTGGAACCAGCACCAAAGGGGATCTTACGGAAACACAGTTCCAGTGGCTATAACTTGGCAGTTTCAAGGATAACACTACGCCCTAGGCAACATCTTCGAGATCTATTTGGAATACACATTCTCATGAATACTCTAATGAAACAGCTCTTATCAAGGCCTGTGGTGGACAAACACTTGGCAAATTCTACAGTCCACCAGCATTCCTCATTTTATTTAAACTCTCAGCTACCCGTGACACAGCTGACCACTCTTCCATCTTGAAATACCTTCTCCTGGAGGCTTCTACAAGAGGATATCCACCTCTTTCTCCTACCTCACTGGTCTTCCCAGTCTCTTGCAGGCTCCTCCTCCTGTTACTGTCAGAGGAGGAGAATACCTCCTCTTCTGAATCCTCCTCTTTCTAATTTACCCCTCACCCTAAAACCAGGCAACCTCTTCTGTATCCAGAACTCCAAATAGCCTAATTATGCTAAAGACTTTTAAAGATACATCTAGATCTTTCTTCAAAGCTCCAGAAACTCCAGGGTCCAATGGTCTACTCAACACTTCCCTTTGATTGCCTCAAATGTATCATGGCCAAACAAAACAACCCTTCATTTCCCTTCCAATCATCTTCCCTGAGCCTTCCTCTTCTGAGGCGAACCGCCCACCTCGGCCTCCCAAAGTGCTGGGATTACAGATGTGACCCACCACATCTGGCCTGTTCATTGTTTTTTTTGATATTAAGTTATATAGACTGCGGTAATAATGAATAATTGGGATGAAACAAATTTGTTTTTAGTTAGGTTATGGTCCTCCTTTCAGTGGGAAGCCTCTCACATGCCAGTTCAACATGCTGCGCTCGAAAACATATTTGAATCAAAAATTCTACATTTGGAAAGCTTGGAAAATAAAGCTTTTTCACGTTTAAAAACATATACATTGGCCAGGCGTGGTGGCTCACACCCAACACTTTGGGAGGCCGAGGCGGGCAGATCATTGGAGGTCAGGGGTTCGAGACCAGCCTGGCTATCATAGTGAAACCGTTTCTACTAAAAATACAAAAATAATTGGCAGGGTGTGGTGGCAATCCTAGCTACTTGGGAGGCTACGGCAGGAGAATCACTTGAACCCAGGAGGCAGAGATTACAGTGAGCTGTGATCGTGCCATTGCACTCCAGCTTGGACAAGAGTGAAACTCCATCTTAAAAAAAAAAAAAAGAAAAAAAGTACATATTGAGACAATCTGTTCCTAGCACACTAAACCTACAAGAAAGAGTAACGTTCTTATATCTGAAACCAAAGGATGTCAAAATAAACAGAAAAAGGAGAGCTCCAACAAAGATCATAAAATAAGTATAATGGAAAGATGGAACATGTGTTTTTTTTTTTTTTTTGAGATGGTGCCTCACTCTATTGCCCAGTCTGGAGTGCAGTGGCACGATCTCGGCTGACTGCAACCTCTGCTTCTTGGGTTCAAGAGATTTTCCCACCTCAGCCTCCCAAGTAGCTAGAACTACAAGCATCCACCAACATGCCCAGCTACTTTTGTATTTTTAGTAGAGATGGGGTTTTGCATCTCTACTTAATTAGCTGGGCATGGTGACAGGCGCTTATAATCCCAGCTACCAAAAAGAAATGCAAGCCTCAAGCGATCCTCCCACCTTGGCCATTCAAAGGCATGTGCTGCCATCACAGGCATGAGCCACAATGCACAGCCCACTCTCATTTTTGAGGATCCACTCTCATAATCTAACCTAATCCTTATTATATCTCAAAAAAACCATTGCCTAATACTGCCACATCAGGGAAGTGGAAAAATAAATACAATTTTATAAGGATACAAACATTAATTCCATAACAAGTGATTTATTAGCAGCTTTTTATAGTTCTCTAAATAATCTGCATGTTAACCCTTTATTAGATATATAATTTGGAAATAGTTTCTCCCATTCTATGGATTACCCATTTACTCTGTTAATATTGCCTTTTGATGCATAAGCTCCACAAAGTCCGTATTATTTTTTCCCTTATGGGTCATGCTTTTGGTGCCAAATCTAGAAAATCATTGCAAAATTCACTGTCATACAGCTTTTACCATATATTTTCAAAAATAGTCGTAACAATTTCAAAAATTGTTAAGACTATATAAATTAGACTTTATCAGACTTTCTGTGCTGTCTATCTTGTTGCCTTGTCTATTTCTGTGTTATTGCGCTAGTACCAAACTATTTTTATTAGTATGGATTTGTAGTAAGTTTTGAAATCCGGAAGTATGAGTCCACCAACTTTGTTCTGGCTTTTAAAGACTGTTTTGTTGATTTAGAGTCCCTTGAGATGTCATATATAAAAATTTTTTTAAATGTTCAAAAATGGCTCCTAAGAAGGAATCAAATGGTCAAAGCTATCCCTAAAAGGCTAGCAGGGAACAAAAAGTGCTTTCTAAATCAGAAAATACAAACCTAAGATGTTTTGAAAAGTGGCATGTCACCTTGGAAAGTTCATAAGCTCAGTAAGAAGGAACCAAGATCTTCAGTCACACCAAACCAATAGAAAATAAATAAATAAAAGGAACCAAGAAATCACACACAAAAGCAGAGAGAAGCTGAAGTTCCTGAAATATTAGAGTTGCCCCTATGATGGCAAAAATGATCCCTCTGGTTCATGATAAACTAAGTATAAAGACTAAGAAAGCATTAACTGTGTGGCTAGAGAACACATCAAAGAACGACATCCCTGTTGATGATATCATCATATTTGAAAAAACAGCCTCTATGAGCACCACTGTGAGAGGGCTGAGGAGAGCAAGAGGAAGGAGTCTGAAGCCAGTAAGGTCTGGCTAGGCTAGCTACGAAACACACTGCATCCCAAGAACTTGAAGACCACAGGAAAGAATTGTCATTGGCTGATATCAGGGAAACACAGCATTCCTAGAAGAGCTCATAAAACAAAAAAGAAAGACTAATTTTGAGAGGAAATCTTCTACTGTCATGAATCAGGCATATTCTAGAAGATGTCCAATGGCACCTTCACTGTGAGTGCAGGTACTGGGGTTCAAGGCCTGGAAAGACCACCTTATTGTGGTGCTGTCAGGCAATATATCAGTTCACAAGAATAACCCAGGCTTCATCTACTGGGCAAATCAGTAGGTTCTTTAGGACAAAAGCAAAACTTGCTCACCTGTATCCTGGCAAGAAAATAAGAAGGCTTTCTTTTACCAGTGCTTCACTCCTGATGTGACTTATATAGCTCAATGAGACTTCCACCCAAGCTCTTCCTCAGAATTGACAATACTCCAGGCTCTCTCACCAATCTCATTGTTTTGCCTAAAAAAACATGCAAGTGGCTGGGTATGGTGGCTTGTGCCTGTAATCCCAGCATTTTGGGAGGCTGGGTGGTTTATGCCTGTAATCCCAGCACTTTGGGAGGCCAAGACAGGTGGATCACGATGTCAGGAGTTCAAGACCAGCCTGGCGAAGATAGTGAAACCCCGTCTCTACTAAAAATACAAAAATTAGCTGGGCACAGTGGTGGGTGCCTGTAATCCCAACTATTCGAGAGGCTGAGGCAGAGAATTGCTTGAACCCAGGAGACAGGTGTTGCAGTGAGCCAATATTGCGCCACTACACTCTAGCCTGGGTGATGGAGTGAGACTCCATCTCAAAAAAAAAAAAAAAAAAAAATGCAAGTGATATTTCTGCCTCCTAAAACTACATCACTGCTGCATCACTAGATCAAGGCATCATCAAGTGCATTAAAGTGACTTATATCCACCTGACCTTGGGTGAATTCATGGGGTCTTGATACTAACTTTGAATGAGCTTCACAATGGGAAGCCTTAGATGCCCTTAAAGCTCAGGACAGCCAATGTATGTTATAAGCCATCATGGAGTAAGGGAGTTTTCAGGGACTTCCTCACTATTGATGCAGTCATTAAGAATATTTGAGGCCGGGCACGGTGGCTCAAGCCTGTAATCCCAGCACTTTGGGAGGCCGAGGCGGGTGGATCACGAGGTCAGGAGATCGAGACCATCCTGGTCAACATGTTGAAACCCCGTCTCTACTAAAAATACAAAAAAAAAAAAAATTAGCTGGGCATGGTGGCGCGTGCCTGTAATCCCAGCTACTGAGGAGGTTGAGGCAGGATAATTGCCTGAACCCAGGAGGCGGAGGTTGCGGTGAGCCGAGATCGCGCCATTGCACTCCAGCCTGGGTAACAAGAGTGAAACTCCGTCTCAAAAAAAAAAAAAAAAAAAAAAAAAAAAGGG